CATTCAGTACACCAACACTCTCATTAGCAGTAACACCTAATAAAATAGCGCAATAGTTACATTTCTTTTCATTATTTCTTACTTTTAGTAGTCCTTTTACCATGACCAATTCCAGTAACACCAACACTCTCATTAGCAGTAACACCTAATAAAATAGCAATAATTGCAATTCTTGTCATCATCTCTTACTTTTAGTTGTCCTTTTACCACGACCAATTCCAGTAACACCAACACTCTCATTAGCAGTAACACCTAATAAAATAGTGCAATAATTACATTTCTTTTCATTATTTCTTACTTTTAGTAGTCCTTTTACCACGACCAATTCCAGTAACACCAACACTCTCATTAGCAGTAACACCTAATAAAATAGCGCAATAGTTACATTTCTTTTCATTATTTCTTACTTTTAGTAGTCCTTTTACCACGACCAATTCCAGTAACACCAACACTCTCATTAGAAGTAACACCTAATAAAATAGCAATAATTACATTTTCTGTCATTATTTCTTACTTTTAGTAGTTCTTGTACCACGACCAACTCCAGTACTTCCCATACTCTCATTAGCAGTATCACCTAATAAAAGAGCAATAATTACATTTCTTGTTTCTTGTCATTAACTCTTACATTTGGTAGTCCTTTTACCACGACCAACTCTAGTACCTCCAATACTCTCGTTAGCAGTAACACCTAATAAAAGGAATAATAATTTCATTTTTGTCATCATTTCTTACTTTTAGTAGCCCTTGTGCTACGTCCAGCAATTCTATTCGGCTCATTTGACTCATATGAGAACAAGTAAGTTTCCTCAAGTGAGATACTGTAATCTAAATGGTTAAACAAGTTAAAATTACAGTAAATACTTCTGGCCATGCACATTAATAATTTTAATTTAAGTGACAATGCTTATATATACCTGAGATACATGTATCTTCAGCAGCTTTTTTGTTGTTTCTTCTCATCCTTGCCATTTCTTTCTCTCTATTCTTTCTTTCTCTCTCTTCTTTTTTTCTCTTGGTTTCTTCCAACCTCTCCTCTTTTTTTCTTTCCTGCTCTTGTCTTTTTCTTTCCTTCTCTGCTAACATCTCATTCTTCAGTCTCTCCTTA